GGTTATATAGGGTTTAGGGTTTAGGGTCCATGTACCCAATAATTAGGTACTTGGGATTTTGGTAATAGTAATTCTAGTACAGGTTTAGGGTAAGTATATGATTATTAGGTACTTGGACCCTTAGGGGTTTGTAGATGAAACTATGACCGCAGCTGTAGTTCAGAGAAACTTCTTAATCTCTAGACGCTAAACCTTAAGCTCTCTTTGCAGCAAGCCCAGGTGATTGGCATAACAGGTGCGAGTTCCTGAAAAATGCTACTACAATCTTTTCAGTAGGGGCCCCTTTTCATGGCTACATCCCTAGATTCCCCAAAACCCCCTTAATCCTGACCTTCAGCCCTAAACCGCAAACCCTAAAACTGAAACCTTAAACCCTAACCCCTAAGGTTTAGGGAAATCCCAAAACTCTTGAACCCGCATTTGGAGCAGCCTGTAGGTCGGAGCATGAGGACATCACGATTCTTCCGCCTGAGCGGCTGACGTTTGTCACCCACGATTTTCCAGGAAGTCTGCTTATTCCGGGGAGCCTGTACCCTGGTTGGTTTAGAATTCAGGTGGGGGGATGTCTTGAGGGTTTAAAGCTATTTGGGTTGATGTCGGTGTTTAAGTGTTTCGTTTTTTCCGGTGATGTCTTGAGGGTTGAGAGGTAGGGTATACCAGAAATGATTCTATTCAACGGTGTCTTATTCCAATTCCCATAAAGCAGCTGAGAATGGTGTTTGGAAGTGTTCCCAGACCCTTCCCCGTGTTCTAGGGTGGACTCATGCAGGTACTCCTATGCCTTCATGTTTGCAGACGCTGACGAGCTTGCCTTCTTGGAAGAGAATGGGACAACGGACCTGATGGCCGTTCTCGAGGACTAGCTCCAAATTTGCCCATAGGGAGGCATGATATCAAACTGAAAATGATAATGATTAAGCTCACAACTCACAGTGGCAGCAAGAATAACACCCAACACAGTAATCGTAATGGGTTACCACCCCAATAAACAACGCGCTGCAGCCCATTCTTCATGTGGGCAATGATATTGCAAAAGGCCCATTGTGACAAATGACCCCACTCCAACACTGCCCCCAATTTGTTTTAGCCTCAATGTTCAACAGGGTGTGCAGGGTTCGTAATGTTTATGGCGTTATTTGTTATGTGCAAGATTTCCTCCATCCTCCGTAAATATACGACCAGTCTATAGAAGCACCGTTGGGAGTAGTTGTTAAACGAAAAGCTCGAGCATTTCAAGGAGACGGACCCCATGGCTCTTGCAGTCTCAGCAACTTGGTATAGATCAGGAAGCTTGACAACAGGTGTGGGGTGGGGCTGAATGTCCTAAATGATTACCAACAGTATGGCTCCCAGTTCCTTGGGTACAAGTACAAAATGGGTTACCTTAAGTAGACTTCAATATGACATTGGTAACTATGTTGCTTCCGAGATTACGGCTTGACAACCTCCCAACGTGGGCCAACCTCATGGAATGCATACCCTATACCCCAAACCCAAATGTTCAGGCTATTCGAAGCTAGTGGAAATGACTCAGACGAACGGATGCTTTCTGGTTGTAATATGGGGGTTTCCTAAAATCAGGGGTACCTTTGTGGGGGTCCCAATAATAGGGATTCTAGTATATTGGGGTCCATGTCAGGGTCTCCTTATTTGCGCAAACTCCTATACGTGCCGAACTTCTTGGGCATTTACGGGACCTGTGATTGACCCGATGCCCTAAACCCCTACATATCCCTGCGTAGGTACCATTTCGTGCAGATGCACCGCCCAGCAGAGGGCGCGTCATTGTCACCCCATCGTTAGGTGAAGCTACTTGCCAGCACCTGGAAATCTGGAAGCGTGGATGGCATGGTACGGTTACCATTAAAGAGAAGGTAGAGCTTCAGTTATGGCACCATATGCAGTACTGATGAATGTTCTTGGAACGACCCGCGAACCTGCCAGTAGGAGTTGGGTCTTTGGATGTATCAGTTTGTCAAAGTGGTTAGGATGGGTCCAGGCAGCAACACCAAAGGTACAGGAAAATTGGGGATACCAAGCCCTAAGGGTCCAAGTGCCCAATAATCATATACTTACCCAAAACCTGTACTAGAATTATTATTACCCCCAAACCCAAGTACCTAATCATTGAGTACATGGACCCTAAACCCTAAATCCTAAACCCTAAACCCTAAACCCTATATACCCCTATACCCCACTTTAAAGGGACCTAATTATTGGTTCAAAAGATCGTCTTCTTGCTTTTCATTCAAGGCCTCCAGGGCCTCCAGCACCTCCAAGGCCAAGAACGCCCTGGGGATCAGCCTTCCCAGAGGGTCCCAAAGTACCCAATAATAAGGTCCCTTTAAAGGGGGGTATATAGGGGTATATAGGGTTTAGGGTTTAGGGTTTAGGATTTAGGGTTTAGGGTTTAGGGTGGGCCTGCAGGACCCTCTGTCCAGGGCCTATAAGGCCTCCAAGTGTCAGGGGGGCCCTCTGGGAGGAGGCAGAAAATCTGGGTGTCCCTGAACCCTAGACCCAGGGGTTGGGGGTTGTAAGGAATCAAACTAAATCCCCTCCCCTAACAATGACAATAATGAATGACGGCAATGAAGAAAGACATCATAGTAGGGTTTAGGGTCTAGGGTTTGAATCAATTAACAAGCATGCTAGCTTCAAGTGGAGGAGCATTGTAGGTTCTTACCGATTTTCTGGGTCCATGGGTGTGGTCCTCTAATGGGATGTTAGGGTCCAGGGTTTAGGGCTTACGGGCTTAGGGTTTAGGATCCAACATCACAGGCCCATACTAGGGACCCGTGGTTCCGACCTTCCAACAACCCCAAACCCCAAACCCTACACCCTAAACAGAACCTGCAAGGCTTTTATGACCGACTTCAGCGTTGCCACTGCAGATTGGGTGGACGAGGATAGGTGACGGCTGGGGAAGGGGAGTGGGAGCAAGTTTGGTTCGGGGATGGGACCTAAACTCCTAAACCCTAAACTCCTGAACCCCTAAACACCAAACCATACACCCCTAAACCCTAAACCCTAACTAAACCCCGAAACCCTACACCCCTAAACCCCTAAACCCCGAAACCTTGAGCCCCTAAATCCTAGGGCCTGGGGTTTGGAGCATCCCAACCCCATATCCGTCACTCAAGTTACCCCTTGTTCATCGTGGAATTATTGCATTCCCTGACGTGTATAGTCCCAGACTAAGTAGATAGAATATGCGGATCTTATTATAATATACCCAAAGCCATATTCTATCTACTTAGGGGGGGCTATATATAGTATACAGATAATACCTACATAGGCTCCAAAGTCTGCCTACAGTGGGCTATTTGGATCTCTAGGGCTCATGTTTATCTCAGTAAGCCAGGAGAACCGCGGAACCCAAAAGCAAACCTTTACGCCCATCCCAAGGCGCCTGCTACGAAAGTTTTTGAGGGTTTAGGGTGTAAGGTTTGGGGGTTTGGGATTTGGGGTTTAGGCTTTAGGGTTCGACTTGGGGAACTTCCCCAGGTAGCCTCAACCCTACACTGACAACTCTGAACCCTAGAGGCCCTACCTAAACCCCCAGAATATGCAAAATATTAGCCCTAAACCCATAATCATAGCCCTGAAGGCCAGTATTTTACATACTTGTGGGGTTTAGGTAGACCCCAACAGCCTAAGCTCCTGGCAGCAGGACCCTGAGCTGGAGTATGCCTTCTACCGCTTTCCGGTGAGGCCAGGTGGGCCCTTAAACGCTGTTGGCTTTAGGGCTATGGCTTTAGGGTTTAGGTTTTTCACCACCGCCCCCAAAGGAAGATCATCTCCAAAACTACGCTCGTCATGGCCAAAGTGCTACGAGTTGTAGTTACTTCTACGGCTGCTGCAGCTCGCCCTGGTCTTGCTCTCAGTCCACCCCTCATTCTCCTCTACCTGCAGCTAGGATGGACTGTTCCCATTACTTCTTGTTCTCCCACCCTGCATTCCTCCTCCTGCTTTTCGTTTTACTAGGATGTCGCCTGTCAGTAGACTGCTGCTGCTGCTGCTGCTGCTGCTACTGCTGCTGCTAGTACCACGACGTCCTCTATGACTCCTCCTAGTTTCACTACCACAGCTCTGAGAAAGGCGACTCTGCTGCTGCTACGGCCATTGCCACGATCGCCACCACCCCCGCAGCCGCAGCCGCTGCCAACGCTGCCCGTGTCATCACCACCAGTACCACTGCCACCGCCACCACCTCTCCGCATACCCTCGAACTACGCTGCGTGCAAGGGAACATGATGCAGCACAGGCATCTCTGCCTTTTGCTCTTCGCGTGTACAAAACCTTGTCGGTATTGCAGGAATGAGATTCCCAGCACGGAGAGCTTCGAGAGCTGGACTCGTCGTTTTGAGATGCCGGACATAGCATTTTGCCATCAAAGCTCATGGGCCATGACTCATGTACAGGGGATTTGCCTTCTCCATGGAGCAGATTGGGTTTGCATGTGAGGGGTAGAGGAGGGCGGGTTTAGATACCAGGGAGGGCCAGAAAGGTTCCGGGTTGGCAGTTATGGAGCTATACGTGCTTGTCATGGAGTAGTGGGACTGGGGGTACCGAGAAAGCGAGAGGGCATCAGAGCATAAGTTATCGGGACTTTCACAGGTTTAGATTGGGTACTGCCCCCCACTCATTAATAGTTGGATAATGTTTATAAGGTGGTTATACATAGCCATTAAAATGACCCCTTATATAGACTGTTAATGGGTGGGGGCAGTACCCAAACTAAACCCTAAACCCTAAACCTGAAACCCCATTGTAGTAGTTTCCAGTTTCTTTTCCATTATCCCAATATTAACCCCAATATAACCTAAACACCTGGGTGGGGGGCAGGACCCAAGGTTTAGACTCTTAATTTTGCAGTTTCTTTGCCAGAGGACAGCAGCTGGGGATCTCCGCAGGGCGGTTTCGCAGTTAAGTTAATGGAGACCCATGATTAATCAACCCCCTCCTTCTAAGGGCCTTAATATTAGGATCCCTGTTATAATCACTATCAAGGGGAGGTTTCGTTCCCCGTGACAGGCAGACCGGATTCTGCTGTTCTTTTTGCTGACAGATGAGGTAGTGAAAGTGTTGAGCGTGTGGTCTAAGGCAGCTACAGGGTGGGAGTTCCCAAGAGGGGCGCTGGCACAAGCTGTACATACAGCGATATACACCCCATAAGACTCCTTCATATCCACGCAGTCCCCTACATACCCCTTACCTAAGCTCCTCTGTAACGCCTATGCTCCCCTCATAACCCGAAGTCCTTGATGTGTGGTTCGGGGTTAGGGTTTGGTTTAAGGTTTAGGGTATGGTTTGTTTGGTGTGATTCCTCGTCTGAGGACTTCCAGAAGGGTACTGCGTTGGAGGGTCTAGGTAGGTTCGAGGATGTAGCAACTCTCAAATGTAGTACCCCCCTAGAAGTCTGCATAAAAGGAATCATGACAAACTAGTCATACCCTACACCCTATAAACCCTACACCCTAAACTCTAAGCCCAAAACCCTAAATGCTATACCCAACCCAAAAAGGAACTACAGTGGATGTTCTAGGCGGACTCTCATGGAACTGTCGTAAGTTCCGATCTTTGAGTTCAAGCGCTGGCTTGTCCATACAAGCGTTTGGGGTTTAGGGGGTGGGGGGGTTAGGGTTTAGTGTTTAGGGATAGGGGTCCCTAGAAGAAGGATTGTAGTACTTGGGGGTATATCTTGGGATCCCCCTCAATTAGGATGGAACCTGGCCTCAATGAATCTCCCGCCGTGAATCTTACTGGTGCGTATGGGATGGATCCATCTATAATGATTTTTAACAGTCCCTATATGCACTCCCCCCTTACGCACCAGTGAGTAGGGTGCGGGGACTGCTTTAGGGGAAGGGGGTAAGATGGTTGGATATTGAGCTCTTGCCCCTTTGTCCCTTGGTGTGGGTGTGGGCATATATGATCTGTGAGCCAGGAATTTAGTGTTCATGTAAGTAGGCTTGCAGGGTGTGTGGGGCGGGCTATGGGGTGTGTGTAGATATTACCCTAAACCCTAAACCCTAAACCTTAAACCCATACATATATACATAGAGGTAGCTAGTGGGATGCTGGGTAGTTATAAGTGAGGCAGAAAAATCCTAAAGCCTAAGCCCAAGCCCTCAAAAAGCATTTATGGGCCAAGGAATGGGACGATGCCTCCCACCCTATGCACTGGCGCAAACTGGGAGGTCTGCCAGCAGCACGATGGAGGGTTTTCAGGGGATGGAGGTACCTTTTTGTGCCACTTGCAGTCCCAAATTTCAGGGCTTATATGGTTAGACCCTGGCAAGTTTTTAGTCATTGGAGGACTCTGGTTGGGGTCAACAGGGCAAGGAAACTTCATCCTGCAAAGAACCCAGAGGCGAGAAGCCTCACTTATCCATATATCCCCATCACCCCTATACAATTGTTACACAGTGACACTAATCCTCCCCCCAAGATTGCAGTCACGCTTTGCAAGGAAGACTGCGAGAGAGATAGCGGCCCCTAAGTCCCAAAACCATTATCACTTCAAGGACCAGGGGGACTTGGTAAGTATACTTATAATTTATACCCCCTGGAACCGACATGATCGTCCCGCTGGTCCCAACTATGAACCTGCTTAATAAGTGCCCCTGACACTAGATACCTCAAATAGTAGCTTCCGTGTTCTTTCCAATTCCCCTCTATATCCTCATATAATCGTTTTTAAAGAGACCTAATGATCCTCCAAGCAGTCGAGGTGTGCTGCTGAGACACTTCTCGCTGTCACCAACACTGGAGGATCAGGGATTTCGGGATTGTACCTCTAAAGTCTCACCTCTAAATGTCCCCAAAAGGCCCTAATATAGCCCTTACATAGGCCCATGTTGTCCCCTGGAGTCCTTTAAAAGGATCCCGAAACCTAGTGGTACCACCCTAGCCTGAAACCGTTGAGAGGAAATACGCCTCCCATCGGGGGCCTACTTCGTTGTCGTCCAAGCACGCGACAGCACGCATGCAGTGAGCACGGCCTTCGCGGCTGCCCCTTGGGTCTCTGAGACTTGGTGCTCGGCTGGCATGTGTGTTTGCCTTCGGTCTAATGTTCACTTCGCATTACCTAAACCCCAAAAGTATGCAAAATAATGGCCTTTAGGGCTATTATTATGGGTTTACGGCCATTATTTTACACATTTTGGGGGTTTAGGTAGTAACCCTCGCCCCCCCCTGCCCCGAAATCTTGCACCGTGCCATATACCCTATGCCTCAGAATTGAGCTCCCACCCTCAACACCTAAAACATTAACCTCGAACCCTAATCCCTAAACCCTAATCCCTATAATCCCTACACCAAAAGCCCGAAATCCTAAAACGTGAGCCCCAAAGCCCTCGAAGCCATGGCCCAGGAGCTCGACATCGAAGAAAGTGGGCTCCTGAATCTCCTGGATGCAGCTCAGAGCAGCAACGACGCTGACGCTCTGGGCCCATAGCGCACAGTTTTGGGGGTTTAGGATTTGGGCTTTAGGCTTTAGGGTTTGGGGTTTGGGGTTTAGGGTGTAGGGTTTGGGGTTTAGGATCTAGGGTTTGTGGTTTGGGGTCTAGGGGTTGGGCGCGTAAGGGGCTTAAGGTTCAAGACTCTGCATGGTTGAGGTTTTGGGGTTGGTTTTTTATTTTTGAGATATGTTTTTCCTTGTGCAAAGACGTTCTTCAGTCTTATCCTGAACCCTGTATATTACCTTGGTTAGCTGGGAATGAAGGAATGGATAAGAAAATTGAAGCTACTACAATGGGTTATATAGGGACTACTAAGGATCCATTCCTCCATTCCTAGCTCACCAAAGGTAAGGATGTGAGCTACTGTCCATATTGACATTTGAGGACCCTACAGTGACATAGGGGCCCCTGTTGTACTTTAGTATATTCTTCAGTGTAGTCCCTGGTAAGGAACCCATGGCCCATGTCAATCAAATTGCGTAAGAGATATTGACTGTAGTTCATGTATCCCGTCATAAGACCCATAAAGGGACCCGCCAGTATAAGCTTAGCGCACTCCAAGCTTAAGCCCTGCAACCTAAATCCTGAATCCTAACTCCAAACCCTAAACCCAAAGCCTAGATTCGACTACCTGGCAACCAGGACTCAATGATCAACACAGTGGGGGCAGTAGCCTCTTCGCCCAGTGCTGCGGAAGAGCCTAGATGAGTTGGCTTAGGGTTTTACAGTTTACAGTCAAACTTAACCCTATGGCTCTAAGTCTGTAAATATTCGCCACATTGGGCCCCAAAGTCAATAAATAGTACTTACATGGAGCCTTAGGGTAACCCTTAAGCCGCACACGCTCAACTGCAAACCGCAAGCCCAGGAGGGGGTGGCCCAGCTGTCTCTGCAGCTGCTACTGGAAGCCACTGCACTGGTAGCTGGGTAGGCCTTTGGGTTCCTGAAAAATTTTCTCTTATTGGTTTTATAGGGACCCATCTTAACTTAAATAGTAGTTTCCATTTTATTTTTCCGTTATCCCAATATATCCCCTGTATAACCCTTTTACAACCCCTATATAACCCTAATATTTTTCAAAGGTCTCTAAAGGCCAACCAAGGTAGAGTCCGAAGCCGTGGCGGCCAAGTGCGTCGAGGCGGTCACAGCTGTCCTGGTCAGCGTTACGAAAGGTCCCAGGCGCACCCCGGAAGGCGCCCAGAATCAACTCGAATAGGATCCGGAGACGACATCATAATCATCATCCCCGGTTAATCCTATAATCCCTGCAGGTTCCATTTTATTTTCTTTCATGCCAATAGAACCCCTATATACATACATACATACCCTAGTAGTGAACCCCTATACTGATAATTCCCAGGCGCCACGCTGCAGATTGCCAGACAGGCCATCGACAGTTCTCTGGATGCCATGCGCACGGTGAACGCGGATGCAGGGGCACTAGTGCCTATGTTGGTGTTATATAGGGTACATAGGGGTGAAATTGGGTTTTATTGAGGTTATATAGGGGTTATGTAGGGTTTAGGGTTAAGAGTATTTTGAACATGTCTTCTAGTTTTTGCATGCTATAACAACAAACAGCTGAGATCAATTTTTGGGGCAGGTTCCAGATCTCCTCATCCCTTAGTTCAATAAACTTTAGATTGAGGGTTTAGATTTCAGGGTTTAGGGTTTAGGGTTTAAACCCAGGTGCTGGAGGGGATCAACACCCTTGGCACCGCAAACTCTTGGAGTTTGCTTCGGCAAGAGGCGGCGCAGCTTACTTCCCAGGTGGGCCAAAAGGGTTTAAGGTTTAGGCAACAACTTGCTCGGCCTTAGAGTCTCGGACTTCTTTGTACGATTTATAGAATGAAGCTTGAACCTCTTTGCCTTGGTTGTTGGAGCAAGAGTCAAGCATAGGGTGTAGGGTTTAGGGCTTGGGGGTTTAGACAGTTTCCTGGTTATGTGTTTGTCCCTGCGTAAACCCTTAACTCTAAACTAACTTTAAGAAGTACCTGCCAGAAGGATCCTTATAATGCTCTGCAGTTCTGAGATCTGGTTTAGGTTGTACGGGAGATTCTCAAGACAGCGGTCCGACATACTCTCTCGAGTCACGGAATCTTTCTGTTGGTCATCCAACAGCCCTTAAGCCTTGAATCCTAAACTCGAAGGGTCCATGAGTTTGTAATCTCGAGAAAAGAAACACCAGGTGGACAGCCTCACCGACAAGCTTGCCAACAGGCAGGGTGTAGGGTTTAAGTTTTATATAGGTTCAGGGAATGGCGGATCTCCAGTTCGAGGCTTTTGCCCTCTTGGGCTTTTGGGGCTTAATATTAAGGGTTTAGGGTTTAGGGTTCAGTTGCAGCTATGTACGGCCGGAGCGTATAGAACGTCAGCCTTCAGGGTATATTTCCTTTACCCCAGCACCCTACACCCTAAACCCGCACCCTAAAGCTAAACCCTACGCCCTAAAGTCTAAACTCTATAGCCCCTCTTAAGTAGATAGAATATGGGTATATGGGCAGCGGTTTTTTTGTGCGGTAGACCAACTGTAAGTGCGCAACACAGAAACTCATCAAATCTTGGTCCGAAAACGAGGTTTTCCTGCGTGCGCGGAAGGAAGCGGAAGCTCCGCGGAAGCATTTCTTC